CCCATGTGTGTGCGGAGTTTGCATGTTCTCCCCATGTGTGTGCGGAGTTTGCATGTTCTCCCCATGTGTGTGCGGAGTTTGCATGTTCTCCCCATGTGTGTGCGGAGTTTCAGTGTTCCCCCCATGTGTGTGTGGAGTTTGCATGTTCTCCCCATGTGTGTGCAGAGTTTGAATGTTCCCCCCATGTGTGTGCAGATTTTGCATGTTCTCCCCATGTGTATGTGGAGTTTGAATGTTCCCCACATGTGTGTGCGGAGATTGCATGTTCTCCTCGTATGTGTGCAGAAATTGCATGTTCTCCCCATATGCGTGTGGAGTTTGCATGTTCATCCTGTGTGTGTGTGTAGATTTCATCTAGAACCTCTGGATTCTTCTCTGACTCCAAAAACACCTGTATTGTGCATGAGTGTGAGTTTTTGCCCTCTGCTTCCTGGGCTGACTGTAATAAGCAATTATGTAAGATAGATGGATTATGAGCTCTAGTTACGTCACAGTGGAATGATGTATCGACAATTTACATACACTATCCAAAGGCTGGTTAATGCTACGCCATGATCCTCAGCCCAGTGAATTACCATTCACTGATTAAACTGAAATTTTATGGAAGATTGCTTCCAAGGATAGGGTTGTCATATTTTTTCATCTAAATCAGGTGCAGGGTCCTTTCAGATGCAATTGCACCACCTGCATGCCGTATAGCATCAGTCATGCTGGAGATGCACCATATAATAGTTTGAGGCTGATTTCAAGTGCTTTTGCTGCTCACTTTTCATTTAAAATTGTAAGATGAGCTGCCCTTATTGCATTAAAGTCTCGAAATATACCATATCCGTATGTTATAAGCATATGACCAATGAAAATGTTTGTTTATGAATATGACGAATCCCTCGAAGGGAAATTTCTGAATTACAGCAGCAGATACCAAATAGCACCCAGAGTATAAGACCTGGGATTGTATAAATGTCAGGATTCATTACTCAGATTTATAGTCTTGTTATTTTGTATTAGGTCTACTTAAACTCCCAACTGATTGACACAACATATAGAACAGTATTTCACAATGAAATGTAGGAAAGAATGCAAAAATACGAAGAGGCAAACTCACACACATGCGCGCAGACACACACATTCACATTCGGACCAGGGTGACCATCTAATCAATGTCACGAGGGACACTATGAGCTAGGACCGGGTTCGAAAACTACCATTCCAATTGAAAAGGATCTGGATTTCACTTTAGCACTTGTTCTTGCTGTGTGCTGACTGGTCAGTCTCCTATAATCATGCATGTGTCACTAATGTTAATATGAAACAGCTAGATGAGTCTTTCAATCAAAGAAACAAACCAGTAAAAGCACAAGAACTGAAATGATTAGCCAAACATAGGTGCCTCTCAGTTTTAAAGTAGTTTGTAAAATCTGAAGTAGCTCATAGTGTCCCTCCTGACATGGGTTAGGATTAGGGTTAGGATTAGGTGGTCATCCTAAAACAGACACACACACACACAGTGAGGGAACCTGATCTGTCAGCTATTCCCAAATATGTTTGCAGAAGTGGACATTTCAGGTCCAGATTTTGTTTCAACCAACCACTTGAGTATAAAGACAGTCACAGAGTACTCAACTAGTTGATTAAAACATAATCTTGCTCTGGATTTGTACTCTGTGTGTTTGTAATGTTTTTCACATAATGTTTAGATCTCCAAACAGAGAATATGTACAATGAAATTGTACAATGGCCAATACAGTTGTGTGAATTGAGCTCTCATTTGTGATACTAGCGCAGCTGTAATGTTAAATCGATCGTATAATTGCAGTAGTACTGGAAGGTAGTATTTTGTGATAAAAATTTGGTGTGGGTTAAATATTGATTGCAGTGAGTTTCAGGCATGTGCAGTAGAAGCAGGGTGATGATCACGGCTCTCTAAGATTTTTTCTCTTAGACAAGTTTCTACATGATTCTGCACGAGTCCGAAAGCGTCCTTCTGCTTTCCTCCGCTGCACTGTGACTCACCGCACGAGTCCGAAAGCGTCCTTCTGCTTTCCTCCACTGCACTGTGACTCACCGCACGAGTCCGAAAACATCTTTCTGCTTTCCTTCACTGCGACTCACCGCAGGAGTCCGAATGTGTCCTTATGCTTTCCTCCGCTGCACTGTGACTCACCGCACGAGTCCGAAAGCGTCCTTCTTTCCTCTGCTGCACTGTGACTCACCGCACGAGTCCGAAAGCGTCCTTCTTTCCTCTGCTGCACTGTGACTCACCGCACGAGTCTGAAAACATCCTTCTGCTTTCCTTCACTGCACTGTGACTCACCGCACGAGTCCGAAAACATCTTTCTGCTTTCCTCAGCTGCACTGTGACTCACCGCACGAGTCCGAAAACGTCCTTCTGCTTTCCTCCGCTGCACTGTGACTCACCGCACGAGTCCGAAAGCGTCCTTCTGCTTTCCTCCGCTGCACTGTGACTCACCGCACGAGTCTGAAAGCGTCCTCCTGCTTTCCTCCGCTGCACTGACTCACCACATGAGTCTGAAAGTGTCCTTCTGCTTTCCTCCGCTGCACTGTGACTCACCGCACGAGTCTGAAAGTGTCCTTTTGCTTTCCTCCGCTGCACTGACTCACCGCACGAGTCTGAAAGCGTCCTTCTGCTTTCCTCCACTGCGTTGTGACTCACCGCACGAGTCTGAAAGCATCCTTCTGCTTTCCTCAACTGCGCTGTGACTCACTGCACGGTTTGCGAGAACCTGTGAGGGATCACAGGTCCTTCATCACCAGC